CGGCCGGCGCCCTCCCCCCAGCAGCCTGGCCTCCGGGAGGCGGCTCACCTGGATCACGCTGCCGTACTTGACGACGTCCCCGTGCACCTTCTTGTTCTCCGTGTCGTTCTGCTTCTGCTCCATCTGGGCCGCGTGCTGCGCAGACACGTACAAGGTGGACACACGCACTCGCACACACGCACACACACACACGCACACAACTCCCAGCTCCCAGCCCCACGCCCAGGGCGACCCTCAGAGGCCGTCTCGTCCGCTCCCTCTGCTACTGAGAGGGACTGAGCGGGCGTGAAGGGGCAGGCCCAGGTCACCTGCCTCGGAGGGGGCATGCCAGCCAGCCCGTGAGCCCCCGATGCCCACACACCCTGGCAGACACCTAAGCTGAGCCTCACTACCCCATCTCACCAGACTCCCATGCCCCAACCAGGCGCCTGCCCCAGCCCAAACGCTGGCTGGCGTGCTTGGTGCCCCTGCCTCCTCCTCCTCCCCACCCCTCTGTGACCTTCCCTCCCAAAACTGTGTGTGCTCCCGGCCCACCGCCTCCAGGGAGCCTTCCCTGACTGCCACATCCACCTCTGATGGGTCCACCTGGTCCTGGGGGGTTGGTTTGCATCCCGTGGAGGACAGCCTCTCGGGCACCTTCTGTCGCATTAAACTGGAAGCTGCCTGAGGGTCGGCTCCGCCCCCTCCATCAGACTGGCACTCCCTGGGAGCCTGGCTCCTCTGCCCCTTCCTCTCTTTAGTCCCATTACCCAGGTCCCCTGACTGAGGCTGGGGGGAGGGTGGCTGCTGGGGAGCCTTGCTGTGTGCACGTGCCTCACAGGCCTACAGCGTGTGGCTGTGGGACACATGTGGCTCTGAGTGTGTGTCGGTGCACATGTGAGGGCCCACGCCCAGGCCAGATCCCGTTCAGCCCCGGCCTGGGTCCGGCAGGGAGGAAGCCTGTGAGCGCCCCCAGCTCAGCAAGAGCGATGGGGTATTTATAACAGAGCTCAGCCCCTCCCAGCCCAGTTCACAGCTGGGGTGGGGCCACCCTTCCCCCACCCCACACCCACTCCTCAGAGCAAGGGACTCAGAGAAGCAAGACCTGCGTGGGGTGGGGCACCAGGGCCAAGGGCGGGCTGGAAGCAGGCTGCAGAGAGGCCTGGCCCAGGTAAGCCCCCTGCTCTCCTCTGCACAGCCAGGCTCCAGCCCTGAGCTGTCCAGAGAGGACAGCCCAGGATGTGAACTCCACTGCCCCCGAGAGGCCACGAGCCACCACCAGGCCTCGCACCGTGTCCAGGCCCCACTGCAAGCCACAGAGTGACCCCAGACAGCCCAGCCCCCTCTCGGGGCCCAGGCCCCAACTCTACAAAACAAGGGAGAAGTTACGACTAGTTCTCAAATGCGGTTCCTGGAGCCAGTGGGAACCCCGTGGGCAGCTGGGTGGGTTGTTTATGGCACCATGGGGTCCAGCTGAAGGGCTGGTGGGCGCTGAACCCCAGTCTGCCCTCCGCTCACCGAGCCACGTGCCCTGGCATAGGGCCGTGCACCTTCTTCCAAGGGGCACCAAGGGGTCATGCAGCCGAGCGGGCTGCTGGAGGACACTTCTCCCCCCACCTCACCTCCTCCACAGCAGCAAACGCCAACCTCTGCATATGGGGTTTTAAAACCACTGGACTCCCCACGGGGCCCGTCGACTCTGGGGAGCAGTGGCCCTGCGTGCTGACGCACACACAGTGCACACCTGCGCACACACGGGGCACACCTGCGCACACGGGGCACACCTGCGCACACACAGCGCACACCTGCGCACACACCTGCAGCTTCTGCAGCAGCACCACGTCGGAGATCTTCTCCTTGTCCTGCTTGGTCTGCTTGGCCTTCCAGTACTGCTTCTGGGCCGAGTAGCGGTTCATGGGGCACACCTTGAAGAGGCAGTCTGCGGAGGGCGGGGAAGGACACGGGCTCATGGGGGGCTCAGGGCCTCCGGGCGCCAAACCCCAGCCGGCGCCCTGCCCTCCAATCCCACTCGGCCCCCGGGGACAGGCAGAGGAGCAGGCCCGGGGCGTGGAGCATCCCGGACTGAGTGGAGTGGAGAGTCTGAGACGCAGGTTTGAGAGCAGGACCTCAGCTGGGGGGACGTGTGCCCTCTGCCCCAGGGAGACTTTCAGAGGCTCCTGGCCCCGCCCCTGGCCCTGCCTGTGCCCGGCTTCTGTGGACATTGGCTGCCGGCAGCTGACACCTGCATCCTTCCTGGCCAACTGCCATACTGCCCACGGAGGGCTGCGAGGTTGCCTCCTCCGGCCCCGAGGACCGCGGCCTCCCGGAGGCCGTGCCGGTCACTCCCCGCTCCCGGTGGGACCAGGCCGAGGCTTCTCTTCCCCTGAAACCGCCCTCCTCCCTCTCCCCGCCGGTGTGAGCGAGGCTCCCGTTCTCTCCGAGACCTCTCCGCGGGAATTCTCCCATCAGAGGGCGCCTGACCGAAGACAGGGCCCATCAAAGGCCCAGGGACAAAGTCACTGTTACAATTTTTATTTGGGGAGACACACAAAACACTCATGAGCTTCAAAAGCCCAAACTCCGAAGGGTGTCAGCCTCTGTGTATAAAGGAGGCATGAGCTGGGAGCTCCTGTTCTAGGTGTGGTGGGAGGGGGGGGAGCGGGTCCTGGTGAGATGCTGGCACTGGAGACTCGGCCTCTCGGACAAGAGCAGGGGCTGCGGTGAGGCAGTGAGCTCCCCGTCGCCGGAGGGCCTCACACCCTGGGCCGGGTGGGCTCACGGCCTCTGAGAGCCGCCTCGTGCTCCGGGAGCATGGAACACACCAGAAAGACAGGTGCCGGGCCCTGGGAGGGGGCTACTGGGGGAACAGATCAGAGATGGGGAGCCCTCTCCTTCAGCCCCTCTCCTCCCTCCAAGGAAGGCCACGGCCCTGCTCTGGTAAAAGCTGGCCATCCAGCCCCTGAACTAAAAGTGAAACTAGCCCGGGAGCAGACAGGGGCCTCTGGTACCATCGGGAGAAACCGGGTGAGTCCGAGTTCAGAGAAGGCAGGACGTCCTTGAAGGGAGGGGAATGGCATTCCATGAGCAGTGGAGCCAGGGCTGCCCTGCCCAGCCTGAGTGGGCATCGCTTCCAGAAACACGCTCAGTTTGTTAAGGAGAGTGTGTCTTCAGGGGGTTCTGCTCGGCCCCAAGAAGCAGCTGGGTGTCAGCCTCCGGAAGTCCTGCTTCTTCAGGCTGATGGAGCTCCCAGGGCCCTGCAGGGGCCACACCCACTGCCTGGGTAGAGCCACTGGCTCCCCGCAGGAGTCGGGAAAGTGGGGTCACTCCAGGGGGAGTTTTGGAAATGGGGGGGGAATTTTGATGGAGGTCACAGCTGACATTTAGAGGGCAGGACAGAGGCGCTGGCCCCGGCAGCACAGGACTGTCCAGCGCGACACCCGCCACACGCGTGCGGGTGGACAGCCGTGGCCTGCTCGGGGCCGAGGGGCACAGACAGTCCTGTCTGCACGGGTCTAGGAAACACCGACTTCCCAGGGTGCAACGCCGTGTGCACTGGGGGACACTGTGCTCTGTGCTGTGCAAACTTTCCCGGGGGGTCTCTGCTGTTTCAGAAAAGCCGCCCCTCGCGGCCCCGCCAAGCGCCTGGTGCCTGCAAGCTCCTGCCTGGGAGGCCGGCAGGCTGCTTCCCTGGGCCTTCTGGCTCGGCCCAACGTGTAGTTCTAAAGCACATATTGTCTTATTTATTTTATTGCACACACACATATATATATATATATATATATAGACAGAGAGAGAGAGAGAGAGAGAGACAGAGAGACAGAGAGGCTGTGTCATATGCTGCTTTCCTTTTATTTCTCTTTTTTGTCACACTTAGAGCATGATACTGGCCTCACCACCTCCGCCAGCTCCAGGCTCCCTCAGACCTGGTCCCCTCCCCACTGTGTATTATATAAATATGGATATGGGTCGACTGCACTGTTTTTAGATTCCACTTCCCAACACTAAAGGGTCCGTGGCCTGCCAGGCCGCTGGCTTGCCTCCGCTGCCCTCACCAGCTCTGCGGGCAGGGCCGCGTGGGGCTCATGGCCGTGTCCCCAGCCCCTAGACCAGGGCTCCGGGACTGGACTGTCTGCCACATGAACACATGAATCTAGAACGACTCCCTCATGTGAGATGAGGGGCTTGAATTTAGCCTCGAAGGAGGAAAGGGATGAGGCGTGGCAGGGAAGGCGAGGGAACGTGGAGGCAGAGTGAGACCAGTCACACAGCAGGCCTGCGAGCTGAGGCAGGAGGGCGATCGGGCCCTGAGACCCAGGAGCCCGGGGCCAGAGCGGCAGCGAGGCCAGCAGCCACGGGCCTGGGCCAGCTGAGCTCCTGGGTCTCCCACAGCCACCTCCCCCCACTCCCAGTCCAGACCACCGGCTCCCCTGGGACTCCTGTCCCTGCGAGGGCAGGCTCTGGGCCCCCGGGCTGAGCCGTGGTCACACTCCACTACGGAGCAACCCAAGCAGAAACCTCAGCAACTGAACTTTTCAAAGGGACGTTATTTTAAGACTTAAAGAAGCGAGAGACCGTGCGGATCCTCCGCAGACAGATCGAAAGGAAGCCCGGGAGACAGAAACAGCCAAGCCCCTCGCCCCCGGAGGCCTGTGCTGGCTGCAGAAGACGGAACTTTCATTAGGACCGCTTCACCTCACAGGGACAGGAATCCGAGCCAGGCCCCCTCGGAACAGGCCCTCCCTGCAGCCGGCCCTGCTGGAGTCCCCTGGGAGGTGCACACCCCTGACTCGAGCTTGGCGTGGCGCCCGGGGCAGGCAGGCCGGCGGTGCCCGGGGGCTGGCAGCACACCCTCTCCGAGGAGGGTACTCCCTCCTGCTCTACCACCAGCAGACCCAGTTCGTCTAATGCAATTAGCCAGCAGGCACTCAGAGGTCACCAGGACCTCCTAGGAACTAGATGCCACAGGAGAGAACGAAACAGACACCAGGACCAAACCTGAAGAGACTTCAGACAGACATCCTCTAAGCCAGAAATGCCCCCTCCGCTCCAATCAGTAAAAGAGGATCCCGCAGGGCACAGAAACTACCAAGTGGCACAGCAGCCCTGGCCGGTGTGGCTCGGGTGGTGGGAGCCTCGTCCCGCACACCAAAGGCGGCAGCTTTGACTCCTGGTCAGGGCACATGCCCGCGTTTCCCGTTCAGGACGTGGTTGGGGCACAGTCAGGGCGTGGTCAGGCACTGTGGGAGGCAACCACTTGATGTTTCTCTCTCACATCTCTCTCTCTCTCTCTCTTCCTCCCTCCCTCCCCTCCCCTCTCTAAATAAGACTTTTTAAAAAATGTTTTTAAGTGACACAGCTGAATGAAAAAGAACCAAGTGGAATTTCTAGAAATAAAAAGGCTTCAATAAACAAATGTTAAAACTCACTGAATATACTTAACAGGAGAACAGACAGAGCTGAAGAAAGTTAATGAAATGCTAGCAGCTTGCGATGGTTGGTGCATTCCAATCTACTCTGCCCAGTTCTTTCGAGGACGCCTGGGCCCCGTTGGAGCGGGTCCGAGCTGTGTCTGAGTGACACACACCACGAGGGGACCCAGGCCAGGGATGAGCCCAGGGTGGTCCTCCCGCTCCCGACTCCTCTCTAGCTGTTCTGGGAACTTACTCGCCGATAAAGTCGTCTTCTGCTCTCACACGGACCCTCCCTCAGGGCTGCCCACAGCCTGCAGGACGTGCCTGCTGAGCGAGCAAGTGCTCTAGCCCCTGACATGTCTGGGGCCCAGGCACCGCTCCGTGCTCTTCCTGGGCCAAGCTCTTTGCCCAAAGGCAGCGCTGTCAGAACCCAGCGGAGCCAGCGCCTTCCTTCTCGCCAAACTGCGGGGCAGAGGGAGGTCGGCAGCCAGAGGCTGAGCCACACAGGAGCAGCAGCATCAGGGCCGGAGGAAAGTCCCGATCCAGGGGCTCCCACAGGAAGGACTGTGTGTGCTGGGGGGCGTGTACCTGTGGGTGAGGGGGCCCCAGACCCGTGAGGCTGCAGGCAACAAGGTCTTCGTTGACTAAAGAAAATCAACTGTCCTTCCCTGAAACTAACTGCGGTGTGTGTAACACTCCAAAGCCACTGCCACTGCCTACATCACCCGGGGGCTCTCAGGTCCCCCACAGATCTCGGCAGGTCTGGGTGAGGCCTGGAATGTGCATTTTAAAGGCACACACACACACACACACACACTCACTCACACACACATACACACATACTCACACACACATTCACACACACACTCACACACTCACACACACATACATACACACACTCTCACACACACACACTCACACACACACTCACACACACACATACACTCACACACACACTACACACACATGGTGAGGGGGCCCCAGACCCGTGAGGCTGCAGGCAACAAGGTCTTCGTTGACTAAAGAAAATCAACTGTCCTTCCCTGAAACTAACTGCGGTGTGTGTAACACTCCAAAGCCACTGCCACTGCCTACATCACCCGGGGGCTCTCAGGTCCCCCACAGATCTCGGCAGGTCTGGGTGAGGCCTGGAATGTGCATTTTAAAGGCACACACTCACACACACACATACACACACTCATACTCACACACACACTACACACACACTCACACACACACACACACACACACACACACACA